ATCCAAGTGTTATTTAAGACATTCTGTTGAGGTCAAAGAATATCTGATTGAGAGGAACATCTAGACACATTTGTGTTTTTCAGATTACAATAGGTGTGACCTGCCAAAATTATGCAATGCATGTGTTAAGCATACTGTGAAAGCCTTGCTGGAAAAGGAGGCTTGACAAGTAGACCACGATGAGAAAAAATGAAAAATATATGTCTTTGTTTATTTCTATCAGCTGTGTTAAAAGACTCTCCTGCTGCAACTCCACATACTTTCCACTGTTTTTAAAATCCCAACATCCCTAAAGTGATGAATAATGCATTTGTCTGTGTAGAAGATATGCCACTCAAAATCAGTCTTCCATATATATATCTTGACAAACCATATATGACACCATATGTATATAAGAGAGTTCTCATGTATTTTTAGTATTTCAGTATGTTGAGAACCAATGGCAAACATACTTTATAGTCAATTACAAGCTTTTATACAAAGACACCCATGCACACACACACACCGCACGCACACGTACACATATACACACCCGCACCCCCCCCCCCCACACACACATCATATATTTATATATATAGATATATTTATTTATAAATAAATATATAGATAAATATATATATAAATATACATATACATATATAATATATATATATAATATACTATATATATATATATATATATATATATATATATTATAATTATTATATATGTATAATATATGTTGTATATGTATATATATTGTTATATGTATATATGTGTTTATGTGTGTGTGTGTGTGTGTGTATATATTTCCCAAAGAAAAGGCTAGAGGGTTCTTTACAAGCATAATAATGCTTTTCTGTGCTTTATTCTTTAACCAAATAGTCTGTCAAATAAATAACAAATATAGTGATAATGACAATAGAAATCAATATGTATATAACAATATCTGATAACAAAACCTCATAATTGTCTACCATTTTCTTTATACTTGTGGCTTTTCGTTTCATCTTTCCATTGTTTCCCTGTGGAGGAGCGGGACAGCGATCTTTTGATTTTCTTTTCTTTATCTCTCAATTTCTTTTTCATTTAGAAGTCATATAAGGGATCTCAGTTTTAGTCACTATTCTTCTATTTTATATATTACTTTATTCTTTATATTTTATGGTATTTAAAATAAAGAGAATCAGTAATATTGCTGATTTATTGACAGCTAAAAATTCTACAAACTATGAAGGAAAGTATGGGAGGTATTGCAGAAAATACAAATTAGCATTTAGTTTTTTTGTAATCTGACTATGAAAGTCCTTTCTGTAAACAATGTGGTAGTCTGTAGATATATAAAAAAAAACAAGCAGAAATTCAACTTCGTACTCCAGTTATCTATTTATTTGGCATTTTATGTTCCTTGATAATTTTCTGTGTTAGAATAACCACATCTGTACTTTCAGTAAGTACAGACTTTCATTGTGTAGTAAGCAAGATTAACTTTTGGAAATTACCAGAAAATATAAAATCCAGTTTTTGTAGACTCGTCACTGAGTTTTCAATTAATGAAATGATGCTAGTAAAGGCTCAAACATGCATCTGAGGTTTTATGTACAGCCTAGTTCTGGAATTTATGCAAGAAATGCTCATGTAATTTAACATTCTAAGAAATGGCTATGATAAGCAACAAATTAAAATCAAATTAACATCTAGTTGAGGGGATGAGTTCAAAATCAGATGAATGTATGTCATCAAATATATTTACCAGATCATATACCATTACTATATATTCTTCCTTATCAGAAACAGATTCATCTGCTTAAACCCAGATATTGTAATGAAGAACAAGAATAAGAACAAGGACTCTAGTTAACAATACTTTTAATGCTCTCAAGTTCATTGACACTCTACAACAACACACTTATAGACAGAGACTGAAAATGCCACGAATAATCACAATAAGACACTCTTAACATCATCACTTTTGACACCACTGAAAATACAAAATTGAAAATGTTAAATATTCTGTATATTCATTTTTATTTATAGTCTTTACTCATACTTATCTTTCCATTGCAAATCTCTAGAAGATGAAACAAGTGTCATTGAACCTGAAAGTGCTAATAACATTACAAAAATAAATAATGATCTCTTTCCTATTGATCTACAAAATTCCCATTATAACCTTAAGCTACTATAATGAAGCAGTATATCTGCATTGACTTTTTCATAATGATGCTCATATAATTTGCTTCCAGTATAGTCATATACTATGATACCAATATATATATGTATGTAATGACTTATTCTATAATTTAATATTTCCCATTTCACACAACTTCATGTACATACATGTGCCATAATAATAAAATTCTTTTATACTGATTTACTTCGAATTTTGCACAAAGGTTCATAAAAATATTTTCAACCATCAAAAAATAATTATAAAAGCAAACAATTTTTCTAAAAATACACAGCAAAGAAAAAACTGAATCAGAAAATCAGCATATAGTATGTATGGCAATTATTTTACTACATTTTCCTAACCTTTATTATTCTGAAATAGAAGATACAATGAGCTATTCAGTCACTAAAAGGACTTGTAATTTTATTCTATTACATTAATACCAGGAAAATATGCTACATACTAATAATATTTACTCAGCAAAATGGTCACTAGAGCACCTTTAACAATATTTAAATTACTGCGATAATCAATATGTGTTTACATAAAATAAATAAATCTGCATATCTTTTATGCGCAAGTGGTTGAGTGTGCATGTAGGACTGTGAATTATATATATATATTATATATATATATATAATGTATATATATATATATATTATATATATATATATATAATGCATAATGCAAATAATAAGCATGCTCACATAGGTGAGGGAGGAAGGGGGGGGGGGGTAGTTCCATTTTTTGCTCAAATGAAATATGTGCCATGCATAAGCATCTGTGTGTGTGTATATGTGTGTGTGTGTGTGTGTGTGTGTGTGTATGTGTGTGTGTGTGTGTGTGTGTGTGTGGTGTGTGTGTGTGTGTGTGTGTGTGTGTGGTGTGTGTGTGTGTGTGGTGTGTGTGTGTGTGTGGTGTGAGAGAGTGTGTGTGGTGTGTGTGTGGTGTGTGTGTGTGTGTGTGTGTGGTGTGGTGTGGGTGTGTTGTGGGTGTGTTGTGTGTGTGTGTGTGTGTGTGTGTGTGTGTGTGTGTGTGTGTGTGCACGTGCGCGTGTGTGCGTGTGCGTGTGCGTGTGCGTGTGCGTGTTGTGTGTGTGTGAGGTTGGGTAGCGTGATAGCAGGTGTGAGTCTGGGCCTGTTTACTTATCCAATAAGGATAAGTGGATAAGAGAATGAAATATACACCTACTGGTGAAGATGCAGATGTCGATGTGTAACAATAAATTGAGCAAAAATTCTACATAGTTATTTTAAATTATCTACATATTGTATTGCTTCCTTGTTATTAACACCACTAAGAAATGAAGACAAATTTTGCTGAGCATAACATATAGCATGGCCAAGTAATCGTTGAAACAGACCCATGATGGCAAATGCTGCACAAAGCATACTGATTTAATTATATAAATGTCTTGAAAGATGTTGATAGAGGAGTTTAAGTTTAACTTTATACTAAATATAGTCTAGAGTAGCAATAAAATATGGTAATTCAAAGCTGGTAATATAAACCAGCATAAATGTTTACCCCCTTTATAACATGAGTGAATATATAATATCCACAAGTGAAGGAAATAGTGAACTGGACAAAGAGCTTAAAAGCCTTGTAGATCCATAAAGACGAGATTCTGCTTAATGGTATATACAACCAAATAGAGTGATGTACCTCATTATGTTCCCACAACCACCACCATTTTATGGATAACTTTCAAAAGACTGGCACTCAGTAATTATTGATGTGGTACTATAGTAACATATCTTAACAACTTCTAATTGCATTAGATGGACCTATGCTATCATAAAAATACAAAATGTGAAAATACTCTATATACAAGAAGTCAATCTATGCTATTCATTACCCAAAACATTTACATTTTTTAATGCCACAAAATATCCAGGTTCAGATCAGCAAATAATCTCATATACTAAAGAAATTTCCTCTCTATAGCTAGATCATAGGCACATTACCAAGTTTCCAGAGAATTTTTATATATTACAATTCCTTCCAATAATTATCTATGTGAATGGATGAAGCCCCTAAATCCAGTATTGGCTCCACACTTGCTATACAATAGTATTCTATAAGAAATCACAGTATCATGTCCACAATAATCATCTTATACAGAGGGGATTATGGTATTACATAATTAATTACAAAATGGATACCAAGTCACAAGCATTCTAATCCCTCATTAAGTCACTAAGGTAAGAACAATTTGCAATGACTCTTTTCATGTTCTTGGCGAGGAATGCAGTGTGTTATGTCTCCTTCAAGCCAGGAAATGTCACAATTAGATCTTTATACCTCACCAAAATTTTTACAGTATGAAAAATGATCTTTGTAAAAAACAAACAAAAAAAACACTTGATATAGGATACAGTTGCAAATTAAATAACTAACACTCATTAGACTAAATAATATATACAACATAAATTAGGAAAATGTATCAGACTATGAATGCATATGTTTATGTGCCTACTCAGCACATATTTATCATATTCGTTGGGACATGAGTCAGGAATGAGTAAGGGATACCTTACTGAGCATTCTATCACATTTATGGCATTTTCACAAGGACAAGTTGTAATGCTTACCAAGTAATGCATCACTTCACTGCTCACACTCTCAAATATTAATTTCATTCAACTTGGTAAAATTTTGTAATTATCCCTGCATTTATATTAATGTATATGTTGGCATTTTATATTCTCAGTCAGTGCTATAATTCCACTGGAAGCATCTAAGATACAGAGAACTTTATTAGTCTCTCAGAATGTTAGTATCAACTAATTTAGGTAAGAAATATTATTAAAATAGTAAACAGTAATATATATACAGATGTGTATAA